ACACACACACACACACACCAAAGGGGTCGCGACCCAGAGGTTGAGAACCGCAGCACTAGATCCTTACTTATTCCTAATTGCTATTTTGGGTCAGAATCGGCTTGGCGGCAATAAGTTTGGTTGTTACATTTAAGGCCGTGGGTGGTGCACGTTGCCTCCCACGACTAACCGGTGGCACCGAGGAAGAAAGAGGTGGCAGTCTGCTTCCCCAAAGGTAACCGCCAAGAAAACCGTTGGCACAGTTCTGCTCTGTAGCGCAAAGGAGTCGCCATGAACTGGAGTTGACTCGGTGGCGGTGGGTTTGGGTTTTGTGAGGTGGCTACCTTGGGCCCCGCCCACCCGCCATCCCCCCACCCTCCCGGAAGAAGCAGAGGAAACACTACTTTCAAGTCAGTTGATGGACATCTTTAACTCTCTTTTGTTCTTCCATCTAACAGATTCAGGGGTTTGGGACTTAGATGTGGACATGGATTTGTTTTGTGTCCTGGGGTCGGGTGGAGGCGCCATTATTCTCCCTCTCACCAAAACCCCCCCCCCAAACAAACCACCACCACCCAGAAAAAACACGGAATACACTCACTACCTACGAGTCGATTCCAACTCATGTCATTGACCATTTAAAACAGGGTGCAACTTCCCCTGGGGCTTTCCGAGGCTCTAACGGGTGACCTGAGTAGAAAGCCTCATCTTTCTCCCCAGAAGCACCTGGTAGATTCCCACAGCTGACCTTGCGGTTCACTGCCCAGCATGTAATCCATGCGTCACCAGGGCACCCCACAACGCCACTAACGACCATGACTTTTCCTGTACACCTTGACCTGAGGGGGAGTCGGGATTTGCAGCGTGGAGCCCTCCTGTCCCCCAGGTGAAGGGCATCTAGCAACTGTGCCCAGCCGGCGGGCAGGACGCAGGGACACACAACTTGGTCCCCTGCAGCCCGTGTCTGTGCCCGTCTCCCCTCCAGCCCCCACCCGGCAGCCCCAGGGACACCCTCACATTGACCCCCACACCCACCTGCCCACCCCGTCTCCATGTCCTGGGTGACCCGCGGTGCCCGGAGTCTCTGTGCCCATCCACCCCTTCCTTGTGGGTCCACCTCACCAGCTCCTAAGACCCACGTCCTTCACCCCTACTTGCTCGCCATCCCTCTCTTTGTGCCCGGGGGTGGGGGTGGGTCTCCGAGACTCACGTCCATCATCCAACCTGTGCCTCACCTGTGTCCCAGTTGCCCTAGGTGGGAAGGGGGTGGGTGTGATAGGACAGGGCCTCCGATCCACGCCCCATCCCCACCTGCTACCTATCTCGGTGTGCCTGTCCTGGTCCCCTGTGCCCCCAGACAGAGGTCTCTGGGCCACCTCCCACACCCTGTCTCTCTCCCCAGGCCACAACGCCGACGACATGGCCGAGACGGTGCTCATGAACTTCCTGCGGGGTGACACGGGGCGGCTGGCACGCGGCGGGGGCCTGGGCACTCCGGGCGAGGGGGGCGCGCTGCCCCGCTGCCGCCCGCTGCAGCTGGCCTCGCAGAAGGAGGTGGTGCTGTACGCGCACTTCCGCCGCCTGGACTACTTCTCCGAGGAGTGCGTGTACGCGCCCGAGGCCTTCCGCGCGCACGCCCGCGACCTGCTCAAGCGCCTGGAGGCGGTGCGGCCCTCGGTGGTGCTGGACCTGGTGC